TCACTTGTAAATGAGTCTTCTAGGCTCAGTGTGACTTATCTGTCTAAATAAAGGTTGAATGAATGAATCTAAAAAAAAAAAAAATCCAGAAATCACATTGTATGATTTTTAAAAATAATTTATTGGTGTGTTACTGCTGCAAATAAGTATTTGAACACCTGTGAAAATTCATTCATTCATTCAGTCAACCTTTATTTAAACAGATAAGTCACACTGAGCCTCAAAGACTCATTTACAATTGAGACCTATTTGGAGACAAAAAAATTCCTAACACGCTTTTAACTTCTGTTTGAAGGTCAGTAGTGTGATAATGAAAAAAAATCTTGCACCCTAGCACATAATGATGCCGACATTACGCGGAGAGGTGCAAGAGCAGTGAGCAGCCAGAGACAACACACACAGAGGCACTGCAAAGTTCAGATAAAATCACTCAGTTCAAATAGTTCCCTCTGGAGAGATCCGTGCTCACTCGGGGGGTGCTGAGCTCCTCTGGATCATCCAAATGGTCGTGGGCAAACATAAGGTTGTTTTCACACTTGGTAGTCCGGTAGACTCGGTTCGGTTCGGGACCAATATTCATGACCTTTTGTTTACATTTGAGCTGGTGCGTTTGCATTCACACTGCACTGTGCAGTTGAGCCAACCTGTTGAACCAACCTGTTCCCCCGCTCGCCTGTGGGGGCGCTGCACCAAGAACTACCGAAAGAAACAACACAAAACCTCTGAAGACACTTCTTCTTCTTCTGGAAATAAAAACAAAAATAGAGTGGCATAAAGTTTTAGATGTTTTAGGATTTATATTTTGTCATTTTTCAACAATGGACTCAGCATGAGCAGAAGATGAGGCAGAAGACCATGGAGAATATTGTTTTTCACACAAGGCAGCTTATGGCTCCATATAAGGTCAGCGAAATGTGTGTTTGTTTGCACTGCGCTGTACTCCACTTCTTGCTTGTGGAGCGGGGCCTGGTCTGTTTACATTCACACTGTACTCGAACCGCGCTGGAGTTTTCTTCTACTGGACCGAGACCTAGGTTTTAGCCCGGGCCAGAGTTCGCATTTTTGTTCCGTGACAGAGTTCAGTGGCGTGTTCACACCTCCCTAAATGAACCGGACTTCCTAGGCAAACAAGCTAGAGTTTGATTAAAGCAGACTAAACAGGGCTGGTGTGAATGCACCCTAAGACGGGCCTGGACTTGTGCCGATTTAAGCAGGGGAACCTTCTGTGCCATGCATGATTTTAAACTATGACGTCTTAGGTTATTACCCACAGTAACCTTGGAAACAGTGGTGCCAGCTCTCTTCAGGTCATTGAGCAGCTCCTCTCGTGTAGTTCTGGGCTGATTCCTCACCTTTCTTAGGATCATTGATACGCCACGAGGTGAGATCTTGCATGGAGCCCTAGTCTGAGGGAGATTGACAGTCAAGTTTAGCTTCTTCCATTTTCTAATAGTTGCTCCAACAGTTGATCTTTATTCACCAAGCTGCTTGGCAATTGCCTCGTAGCCCTTTCCAGCCTTGTGGAGGTCTACAATTTTGTCTCTGGTGTCTTTGGACAGCTCTTTGGTCTTAGCCATGTTAGTAGTTGGAGTCTTACTGATTGTGTGGGGTGGACAGGTGTCTTTATGCAGCTACCGACCTCAAACAGGTGCTTCTAATTTAGAATAATAAGTGGAGTGGAGGTGGACTAACAGGTCTGAGGGCCAGAATTGTTGCTGATTGGCAGGTGTTCAAATACTTATTTACAGCAGTAACACACAAATTATTTAAAAATCATACATTGTGATTTCTGTTTTTTTTAATTTTTTTTTTTTAGATTGTCTCTCACAGTGGACATGCACCTAAAATTAAAATTTCAGACCCTCCATGATTTCTAAGTGGGAGAACTTGCAAAGTCGCAGGGTGTTCAAAAACGTATTTTCCTCACTGTATGTTCCTTTGTCAGAACATAGCCATCTTATTTAGCCTTATTTGCTACAAAAATTGTCAACAGCTGTAAGAGCTGGTGACATATATTCCGTAACAACCATATGATATAAATAGCACTTTGAATTATATTAAATGAAAAGTGTTAAATGTTATTTATTAGCATTAGTCACCTGCAATGCTGTCTCACTTGTGGAGGCTTGTTCCGGGTTCCTAGCTGCAGTGTGGGATCCTCTGCATTCTTGTGCATGAAGGACAGCCTTTTTAAGTTCAAAGTTTTTGTTTATCCATTGTGCTGTAAGACTAATCATGCTAACGGGGCTAACACAACGTCCAAATGTTTGTGATAAAACTCACCTAACAAGTCATGCTATCGGCCATTAGCTTCTCAATGACATCGGAAATGACAGCTTGTAACTCGCATTACGTTAGAAAAATATCTCAGACTGCGGACGATATAGCGAGGCTCAACGTAGTCCATAAATCTTCGGAATCCGACATCCTCACCAATGAAAAATAAAACTTCCACACCGCCAAAATTTTGAATTTTCCTCTGCCGTGAGATCGGGTAGGCGCACGTGATGTCATCGCATTGCGCTGCCGTTGTAACGTCATCACGTTGTGCTGCCGCTGCAGGCAAAAATAGCGCCTTTTATATCAGTGAGTTATTTTATTGGAATGGCCGATGTTCGATATTGAAATTTAACGCTAATATTGGCCGATACCATGCCGATAATATCGTGCATCCCTAACAAATAAATTTACAAAAACAAATCAAATATGATTTCACCATTTTATTTCTGTTATTACAGGCACAAGGCATTTAAATAAAAATAAAAACTTTTTGTCTTAATTAATGAAAAAAAAAGTCCTGTTCAGTATAGTCTCACATTTCTCATGTTTAAGTGCATTTTTTTAAACCAGTTAACTTAAAAGTGTCCTGATTATCTTTCAGTTATGGAGAAATAAAAATACATATTGAGTTAACATAACATGGCTATCAATGCCGTGTTTCTTCTTCAGATGAACGGCCAAATTAGTTGTTTCCTGAGTATTTTAACTCACACTGGCACCTGTTGCATACAACATGAGTTTTGTCTGTTGAGCCGTCCTTCTGTTGGAATCGAAAATATTTCACAGTGTTGATTTAAATCCAGTAGCAGAGTGAATTTCGTCATCTGTTTTCTGCTTCGTCTGTCTTGTTACTGAGGCGGCCGCAGAGCGCAGCTGTGCATGGAAATGGTGACACAGACATGCCTTGGGAATTTAAAAATAAAAGCATATTTTAAAGATGACGACATCAATCAATGTTTTCGTTTTGCCACAATATAATTGAATCATCCATCCATCCCATCCATTTTCTTTACCCGCTTATTCCATTGTGGGTCACAGGGGTCGCTGGTGCCCATGTCCAGCAATCACTGTGCGAGGGCCGGGGTACACCCTGGACGGGTCGCAAGTCCATCACAGGGACACATAGAGACAAACCAGACAAACAACCATTCACTCTCTCACTCACACCTAGGGACAATTTAGAGTTACCAATCAGCCTAACATGCATGTTTTTGGTCTGTGGGAGGAAACCGGAGCACCCGGAGAAAACCCACGCATGCACGGAGAGAACATGCAAACTCCACCCAGAAAGGCCCCTGGACCGGGGTTTGAACCAAGGACCTGCTCGCTGAGAGGCAGCAGCTCTACCAGTTGCGCCACCGTGCTGCCCATAATTGAATCATTAATCATTTAATCAATATATCGATGTAAATCCATGTATTGTTACACCCCTAGCTTTTAGTGACTTATCGGGGTGAGGGCTACTGGCCAATAGTCATTCAGACCAGTCACTGTAGAACTCTTTGGACTGGGATGATGGTGGCGGTCTTCAGGCAGGTGGGAACTGTTGCCAGGTGAGGAGTTAAATATGTCTGCCAGCATCTCATAGAGCTGATCGGCACAGTCTTTCAGCACCTTCCCGGGAATGTTTTCTGGGCCTGTTGCTTTGTGAGGATTAATCCTCTTGAAAGTACTCTTCACTTTGGCTTAGGTCTCGCTGAGAAACTCTTCTTCCAGTAAAGAGGTGAGTTTGGTGCTGGGTGGTCTGTTTGGGTCTTCAAAACTTGCATAGAACTTGTTGAGGGCATCAGGCAGTGATGGGTTTCTAGGGTGTTGCGCACCCCTGCCTTTATAATCTGTTATGCACTTAATGCCCCTCCACATGCTCCATGGGTCTTGTGAGCTGAATTGACCCTGGATCCTCTGTGCATATGTGACTTTGGCCCTCTTTATACCAGAAGCCATTAATTTCCTTGTCCTTGTCAGTTCCAGTGAGTTGCCAGACCTGAAGGCAGTGTCCCTGGCTTCCAGCAGTTGTTTGGGAAGCTGGTCTCAGATCATCTTGGAGGTGAAGGTGCTGGATGTGGAGGCCGTGGACTCTTGTGGTTACACTTGATCTGTGGTTGTGAGGCCGATTGGATGTACTGACAAATTCTCTGAAACACTTTTGGAGACAGCTTATGGTAGAGAAATGAACATTCAATTCACAGGCATCAGATCTGATGGACATTCCTGCAATCAGCATGATAAAAGCACGTGCCCTCAAAACTCAACGTCTGTGGCATTGTGCTGTGTGATAAAACTGCACATTTTAGTGGCCATTTATTGTGTTCAGCCTAACGTCTACCTGTGCACTAATCATGCTGTCTAATCAGCATCTTGAGCTGCCTCACCTGTGAGGTGGATGGATTATCTCTGCAAAGGAGAAGTGTTCACTAACACAGATTTACACGCATTTGTGAATAATATTTGAGAGGAAAAGGCCTATTGTGTACATAAAAACCATCTTAGATCTTTGAGTTCTGCTCAAGTTTGTGTTATGGCATAAACAAAAATGTAGATAAAAACGTTTGATTCCCTTCCTTTCTCAACACCAGTATCATGACCAAAGACCAACATGATTGTTGGGATTTATAGAAAGCTGCTGAAAATTGACATTTTTGTCAGCTTTTTTCAGTGTTTTCCCCATTTTTCTCAACATTTAAAAATTGTTCTACTTTACCATTTATTGTGCATTACAGGAGTGTTATGTCCACAACCTCCTGAAGGTGACCACGTACATCCCGTCTATTCGCAGAGATGTGCTGGAGCTGATCGTAGGAAAGCTGCTCAAACTGGATGTAAGTTGGACATCTGCCAACTCTTACGATTGCTGCACAAACACAGATTCCACACATCTTCATATTTAACTCTATTCTTTGTCTACTGATTTGTTTTTCTTCTCATTTTTATTTGGTTGTCTCACAATACAAGATGACTTTCAGGAGAAAGTGTTTGAGTCCTGTTGTTAATTTATCTTCAGGTGAGTGCATCCCGTTCAGATATTATGGAGGCAGAGGAGAACGCAGCTCAGGACCAGGGTGCCGAGCAGCATCTGGAAGAGGGACTTTTTGACATGGTAGGGGTCTACCAAGCAGGGTTTTGGGGACCATTTACACGGCGCATATTTTGAGTGAAACCACACCTTTCTCTCTGCGGTTTGGCTGTTCATTTACACACAAGTCTCTCACCCCAGGCTGATTCTGGAGCTTTTTCAATCCAGGTCTTTCATCTTCCTTATGCGCATTTGTCGTATTTCCAAAATACTGTACCACATTTTTATTTTACACTTCTTGCAAACAACGTGCTCTTGTCAAGATCTGTCTTCCCCAGAACATTGTAGGATCTGAAATGGCTACACCAACTTTTAATGACGAAGGAGCGGGCTGAATCATGCTCTCCTCCACTCTATGCAAGCAGACTCCATTTAGATAAAGGGAGCTGGCTAACTAGCTTGCTGTACGGTGGCCTACAAGGCCAAATTCTACAGTGACGGGTAGACACGTAATGCAATATGCAGTGCGCTCGGGAGTAGGAACGGAAAAAAATAAAACACACAAACACATTTTAAAATCAATTTATGGGCCCTTAGAATCCATTCAAAATCACCAGGACTAGGAATGTAGATTCTTTAATGAATCGTTTTTTTTCTGCACACCTGTATAGTATTGTGGCTTTAAAATGATATTATTTTGACCTAAACTGTCATGTGCTGAGTAAAGATATTCTAAGATAAGGTGTGCGTTGTTTTTGTTGAACATGTGCACAGAAAAGGACGGGGTAAATAAGACATTTTAAATTTATCTGGCAACACTGATGCAGGGCTCAGCTGCATTCATTGCACATGCAGCGTCTGCATAACCACAGTTAAACTGATAAATACATTAACATCTCTTTGATCCCTGGATTTTATTAGTTTTGCTCCTACATGCTGAAAAAGTATGATTATCACAAAAACGCTGTTCTCTGCCATTTATTATAACTGTTGTTAGTGTAGAAAACTTTGGACTGCAGCCGCCTGTAGCAAGTTGGTATCTCTGCAGACAAACACGGAAGGCTTATCTGGAGGGCCATGTCTGATTGGACGATAGAAAAATGGGCATATCCAGAGGGGCCACATCTGATTAGACGATACAAAAATGGGCATATCCGGAGGGCCACATCTGATTGGACAAAAAAAAAAAAAAAGGCTGGACGAAAAAAACAAGGCGTTGTGTTAACTACAGACATATTATGTCTATGGTGTTAACCGGTTTGACATTAGCGGTGTCTCCATACCTTCTCTTTCCGCCTCTTTTAACAGAGAACTTACAGTTAAATTTCAAAATAAGAGCAACATAAATGGGTAGCGGGGAGGGCTAAATGTTTGGTTTTTAATACTTAGCCATTACATTAACAAACAAAATCCGTGTTGGTTGTTGAATAATGTGAAATTTGTTACAATCAATTCATAAATAAAGAAAACTAAAGTAACCAACATAATAATTATACTTAAACTGGCTTTGGGACCAAGGATGTTTCCTTTAACTTCACATTTTCTTTTTCAACCTTTTAAAGCAGTCACTGCAGATGAGTGATTGTCAGTTTCTGTAAGAGTTTGCGGTTAGGAGCGAACCCAGAGTGCAGAACAGGGACTCAACTCGGCAGATATACAAAAATATGTTTTAAATGTAAATAAAAGTACAAAATAAACAAGCTGACGGGGCAGCAAAACTTACATGAATAAGGAAGGAGGCAATGGTAAAAGTACAAAATAAACAAGCTGACGGAGCAGCAAAACTTACATGAACTAGGCATGGGGAACTCAGGCGACAAGAGAGACACGGGGAACTCGAGGGACCAGGAAGACTCAGGGAAAGACTCAGGACAAGACTCAGGACAAGACTCAGGAGACCCAAGGGAGAGTACCAACGAAGACGACCCGACAATGGACAAGACAGAATAGGACTGCTTAAATACTGGGAGAAGATGAGACATGATGACAAACAGCTGGGACGAGACACAGGTGGCAACAATGGAAACTAATGAGGAAGCACGAGGAAAACAGACACAAACCGGGCCACAGAAAAGTACCGTCCTTACAGATTTCTGCAACTGGAGCAGGTATTTCTGTTTACTGGTTAACTTCCTCAGCTGTCTCCCATTTTAAGGGTCAACACTACTTCATGTTTCAGTTCCTTTCATACATCAGATCTCATAGAAGACCACTTCTAAAGAGCAAATTTTGTTTTTAGCTTTTGTTTTGGGCCATTATCTTATTACAGGACTCATGATCTTTAATTGTGACCAGCCTTTTTGACATATGGGAGCAGGTTACGCTTCAGATGCTTCATATTTCATTGTACTCAGACCAGACTCAAGCCAACCTGTGTCAGGTGCAGCCTACAACCCAAGATCAAAAGATAATCTTCTTGTGTTTGACAGCAGATATAACGCTGTTTCTTAGAAACCTTCAGTTTTACAAACCGGATTCCAAAAAAGTTGGGACACTAAACAAATTGTGAATAAAAACTGAATGCAATGATGTGGAGATGGCAAATGTCAATATTTTATTTGTAATATAACATAGATGACAGATCAAATGTTTAATCTGAGTAAATGTAACATTTTAAAGGAAAAATATGTTGATTCAAAATTTCACAGTGTCAACAAATCCCAAAAAAGTTGGGACAAGTAGCAATAAAATGCAATGGAAAAAGGAAATTGAGCATTTACTATAACGAACAGCTGGAAGACCAATTAACACTAATTAGGCCAATTGACAACATGATTGGGTATAAAAAGAGCTTCTCAGAGTGTCAGTGTCTCTCAGAATCCAAGATGGTAAGAGGATCACCAATTCCACCATTGTTGTGCAGAAAGATAGTGCAGCAATACCAGATTGGTGTTACCCAGCGTAAAATAGCAAAGACTTTTAAGTTAACATCATCAATCGTGCATAACATCATCAAAAGATTCAGAGAATCTGGAACAATCGCTGTGCGTAAGGGTCAAGGCCGTAAAACTCTACTGGATGCTCGTGATCTCCGGGCCCTTAAACGTCACTGCACCTCAAACAGGAATGCCACTGTCAAGGAAATAACAGAATGGGCTCAGGAATACTTCCAGAAAGCATTGTCTGTGAACACAATCCACCGTGCCATCCGCCGTTGCCAGCTGAAACTCTACAGTGCAAAGAGGAAGCCATTTCTATGTAAGCTCCACAAGCTCAGACGTTTGCACTGGGCCAGGGGTCATTTAAAATGGAGTGTGGCAAAATGGAAGACTGTTCTGTGGTCAGATGAGTCACGATTTGAAGTTCTTTATGGAACACTGGGACGCCATGTCATCCGGACCAGAGAGGACAAGGATAGCCCAAGTTGTTATCAATGCTCCGTTCAGAAGCCTGCATCACTGATGGTATGGGGTTGCATGAGCGCTTGTGGCATGTGCAGCTTGCATGTCTGGAAAGGCACCATTAATGCAGAGAACTATGTTCAGGTTCTAGAACAACATATGCTCCCATCTAGACGTCATCTCTTTCAGGGAAGACCCTGCATTTTTCAACACGATAATGCCAGACCACATTCTGCAGCAATCGCAACATCATGGCTACATAGGAGAAGGATCCGGGCACTGAAATGGCCAGCCTGCAGTCCAGATCTTTCACCTATAGAGAACATTTGGCGCATCATAAAGAGGAAGGTGTGACAAAGAAGGCCCAAGACGATTGAACAGTTAGAGGCCTGTATTAGACATGAATGGAAGAGCATTCCTATTTCTAAACTTGAGAAACTGGTCTCCTCTGTCCCCAGACGTCTGTTGAGTGTTGTAAGAAGAAGGGGGGATGCCACACAGTGGGAAAAATGGACTTGTCCCAACTTTTTTGGGATTTGTTGACACCATGAAATTTGGAAACAACATATTTTTCCCTTAAAATGATACATTCTCTCAGTTTAAACTTTTGATCTATGATTTGTGTTCTATTCTGAATAAAATATTAGATGTTGGCACCTCCACATCATTGCATTCAGTTTTTATTCACAATTTGTTTAGTGTCCCAACTTCTTTGGAATCTGGTTTGTAAAAAAGAGCTGACGTAACGTACCTAAAGAGCCGTTTGTTACGCACTGTAACCCCAGATTCTATGAGTATAGGCGCAGCCCTTTAAGGCTATCGCTAGCGGGCTTATCCCTTTGCGCGCAGCGCAGCATGGAAAACTTTAGTCCACGCCCACCTACATTGTGGGCCTCATCCCCGGTCCGTATAAATTACGGTGAGACCGGGTAAACGGCTCCCAAATAGCTTTTTTCTTCAGCCATTTAGGAACCAGTTAGGCCCAGAGCTTAAAGGGCTGCGTCTATTGTCATAGAATCTGTGGTTACAGTACGTAACTAACGTTCTATTTCGTATAGGCTTTGCCCTTTAAGGCTATAGCCAGTGGGTTAAAGGCGAAGCAGGATGTAGTCTATGCAGCAGCTTAGGCTGTGTGGTTTGAGCAGTCGTCCTCCAATGCGAGAGTTAGGGGTTCGAGTCCACCAGCAGTCAAATGTCGAAGTGCCCCTGGGCAAGACACTGAACCCCTCATAGCCTCTTATGTGTGTCCCATCAGTGTATGAATGTGATCTAAAGCACTGATTAGTCTCTTTAGAATTATTTGTTCAATTAGCTTTGTAGAGATCTAGTAGAGTGCTGTATGAATGGGTAAATGAGGACACAGATTTTTGTGTAAAGCGCTTTGAGTATCTTGAAATAAGATAGAAAGGTGCTGTATAAGTACAGTCCATTTACCATTTATGCCTCACTGGGTCCACTCAGACACAACATGAACCACCTGCTTGCACAAAAAAACATTTCATCACTCAGCCTTTTGTGTGCGTAATTATGCGCTGCGTAATTGCGTGCTCCATGCGCAGGAGCGCACCGGAGAAAAGATCTCTGGTGAGGAACAGAGGCTGAGATAATGGACCTGCTGCTGTGAATAGGAACAACGGAGGATACGAATTGTAACAGTGTAACAATGAACAGAGTAGACCAACAGCTTCTCAGGATGAACCGATTAATAACGATAAAATAAGAAGTCATGAACTTGTGACTGAT